ACGTGAGCATTTGCATCAGAGTGGCGAGGTTTTCACAGTTCCACACCCGAAGCATCGAACATGACCACTATATTCGTGTACGTCCGACAGATAAGACTAGAGCAACCAAAAGAGTTAATGCCTCTAGAGCGACGAGCAATGCCAGGAATGACTCAGCAAGCAAAAGTTTTGGAAAGTTGGAATTGTTCAAAGCAAAGAAATATATATGCCATCACAATTGTGAAAATTTATAAAGGTCGAATGAGGCCTCAATTACTGGCACTCTACAATTACATTTATTTCGATGAAGATATCCTTATTTTCGACCCTTAGGCCTAGCAGTAGGGAAAATGTTCTTCAAGCACACGACGACGAAAAGTTGCGTTATCCGTGAATTTAGTTCAGCCTGCATATAACTTGACGCTTAACCAATCAAGCGGTGAATTCATTTGCATTATAAAACAATGGCTTCTACCAGGCAAATTTTAATTTATGCGAGTACATGTTTGAAGGCCCACACCCACACATGCGTGTAAGAAACGCTTACCTTATTTTCGTTCCCTTGCTGAAGACACACCCAGCGTATTATAAATAATTCAAAAGACACGGCAATATATCGCCAGCGTAAACACGAGTGCTGGTGCACTCAATTTCGTCGAGCTCATTTGAGTCGGCACAATTCTATGCGGATGATACGATCCCATCGAGAAAACAGTAGAAGACGAAATATCTAGAAAGGCGGTAACACATCCCTGTTTTCTTGTCTAGGCCCCACCGCATTTATTTGAAACTCGCGTTGTTGTCGTGCTCAGAAATCGTAACAATATGTGCATTGTTCGCCCTAATGGGCTCTCTCTTTCTCTATAGTGTGTGTTTTCTGTCACCACTGTTATCTCCAAGCGAGGATTCACCTTTTGTTAGATCGGGCGACAACTCCCATTTAGGACGTGTCTACAAAGTAGAAAGCAAATCGATCCGGTTGGGGCACAACACACACATTATCCTGTTGACTCACCACTGTCAGCGCCACGGTGAAGATCGAAACGCAATTTTCCTTTAGACAGAGAGAGGCGCGAGTGGGTGCACGAGCTGTTAGACGGGGGCCAAGCCCTAGGCATTGCCATTACCGACGCTAAAGAAGGGGTCCCGAGGACAGCAGAGAAGACTCGGAAGGTGGAGGACAGAGCGTGTAACCGAATTCAGTGTCGTGACGAAATAACAGAGACAAAAGAAGGAGAGAAAGCTTCTAAGAAGAGGGGCGAAGAGAGAGAATGAGATGCAACACACGCGCTTCAGGCGCAAGGCGTTGAAAAAAAACAAGGAAAAGAAGGTCGAGAACGCAGAGATGAAGGAAAAGGTTAGGAACTAGAATGAGTGAAACAGAAGAGAGAGAGATAGGCGGCGCTGGAGACGACGGAGACAGAGAACAACACACGGAGACACGGCGACGACGAAGACGACGGCGTGGGTCGATTCATCGCTGTTTGCTCCCTAGCGAGGCGCGTGCGGAACAAGGAATCTCTTTCTTGGGGGTCCCTTGAGGGAGGAGCCGCGCGGGACACTCCAAACAGAGTGGCGTGAGCACGCGCGCTTGCGAGTGAAACGCCAAAGCGCGTGCTCGCTCTAGTGTGGCGAGATAAAGTACAGAATGTGGGGAGAGTAGAGAAGAAGAGATACGAGTGGAAAGAAAAGGGGGAGCAACAGTCGTTTGTCGTTAGAAAATCGAACGAAACGTTGCGAACGGAGTTAACCGTGCTGGAGCACTGGAAGTCATTATCCCAGCATAAAGATATAGGGAGCGAAAGTACTAGGGAAATAGATAGCGGGAAAGGAGAGTGAGAGAGAAAGGACCTTTTTCGCGGGTTTCGTGCGAAGGGTGAACTTGCCGGTAGAGGGAACTAACGCCGTTGTCGGACATGTTTGGTCACGCAACGCTGATGAAAATTGATGAGCATGAAGCGATGCCGACATTTTGCTACCCGTTGGTGATCACGCTATTAGCACGTTCTCAGGTCGCACGAGCACGTCAAGAACGAGGATTCCTCTCAGCGTGAATAAGGTTGACGCAGGGCCGTACGCAGTGCGAGTGAGGTCTCTTTAAGGTAATGACTGAACTTCGGCAGCAATCGGCGGTTACAGTTGAAATGGAAGTTCGCACTTCTGCCGAATAAGTCGCGAAATTGTTGTCAGATTACCGCGAATGGCAACGCTGGAGCAAACACTCGACCAATGTTACAGTCACACGTCCACGTTACGTCAAGTGACCACAGTGAAACTGAGAGCCCAATGGAATGCTATGTGTTCGAAGAATGAGTTCTTTATGGGGAATACTTTTTTCTTCAGGCTTCGAAATATTTGTGTGAACAAAATTACGAGACTTGCTCTAATTTCAAGGGGCTGTTTTACATTCGTTCATAGCTACCCTTCACACCCCGGTGTAGTCGACGTGCCTGGTAAACCCACTTTAGGTGCACAACAGCTCTATTTACACGAAGAATTCGGTGAAGGTCATGATACTCGGCTTACAGCCATGATATGTGGAAGAGATAGGGACTGGTTGACTGCCTCGCATGAAATCTATTTTCACAATGCATGAAATCTGCGGGCATATTGAAGCTGCGTCTTTTTGCTTGTTCTAAAATTGCCGTCATATTTACACACGGCTCGTAGCACTTTACGCGCAGCGTCTTGTGTACTTTTAGGCTGAAACTATACATAGTTGAGCAGTATGCATCTAATATTTGTAGAGCTGGCTTTTATATTCTGTTGAATTCAGATTTAGAAGAGACCATTGTTGAATAAGCTTACTCGAAGTGAGTTATTGTGCTCTATGTTGCATAATAAAAAAAACTGATAGACACGTACGTCTAAGCACCCGCTTTATTGAAACACTATATTCATTCTAAATCAACAGGGACTAAAAAGGGAGAATGACAACACAGGCGCTTTCTCTCTTCCAGCACCTGTTGTCTACTGCGCCTCATTTTTGGCATTTAGAATGAATCGTTGCGAACTGACTCAAACGGCTGTTTTATACATCATCATCTCTAGCTTTTCATTAAAATATCCGTCTTCTTGGCAGTACTCATTTTATTGTAGTAGCATTTTTTTCATACATTGCAAAACTTCAAGCCACATAACAAAAACGCTATATCTACCAAGCCATAATAAAAGTGGCGTACTACACAACCAATACATCTATTTTTCAACTTCATTCGGCATCAGTTGACGTTCCAGTCTAGTTTCAAGTCACTCTTCAAGTTATCAGAATGAGACATTGCAAACAGTTTGGAGAGATTTGCATGATTGCAGCGCGGTACTTTCACTTTCCGCTGTAAATACTATAGGTAAGAAGAAAGAAGCTTTTATGTTGTCATACTTGAGCCAAATTCATTCCATGGTAATTTTCATGGCACCGCAAAATACCCCTCATCACTGCAATATACTGATGTATATAATCTCAGTTGAAAGGTCGATAAGCACAAAATTTTGACACTTTGTAAATTCCAAAGTGTGTTCAGTGAAAGCTTGTGTCAATTCGCCTGACTATGTGGTGTGATTTTTTATTTTTTTATTTTTTCACACTCGCTCGGTGATCAAGTGATTCCTGTAAGAGAACAGGGGGGGGGGAGAAGCTCAAGCTGTGCTGGCGCAACTGTTCCTATGCGCCGCCGTGCTATCACGTGATTGCTGAGAGAGATCAAGAAGGAGAGGCCAAAGCTGGCACCATTCCGGGGTGTGTGCAGATGGATGCGAGTATGAGACAATAAAGGCTTCCGCCTTAACATATCGCCTTAAGCAGACATTGAAGCTATTGCAAACGGACGGTTGCTGTGCGGAAAGCTTTACGAAGGCGGAGTTTGTCAAGTCGGAAAGAAAACGAAAATAGCTCCCCCGTATAAGACTACATGTTTTCTTGGCCAATCCCCCAGAGTGGGTACGAGCCATGGATTAGAGGATACAAACAAACAAACAAACAAACAAACAAACAAACAAAGAAACAAACAAAGAAACAAACAAACAAGTGATGGCAAAATAAATCAGTAAACAACATTTTTAAAATAGATCACCTAAAAAAAAAGTGACTCCTACAGATGCAGTGTCACTCCATGTAAGTTAAAACAACGCCGAATGAACATTGAGACACCCAAAATAAAAAGACAAACGATAGAAAAAAATTGATCATTTAAGGAGGCTAGTTTATTCATTAGGTGTTTATTGGCGTGAATAATTTCTTTCTGTTTGAGTGTATAAGAATACAACAAAGCGTTGCGATAAGAAAAATTTTCAATTTTTCCTACATCAATATGAGAACCTAATTAAAAGCGTATTATGAGAGCGACACTGAGTTCTAGTCTGGCATAGTGTTGCGGCACTCTAGAATAAGAATAGTGTTTACTCAATATAAAACTTTAAAAATAAATTACCTGTATTTTAAAAATACTAATGTAAACAAATAAATTTAGTTCTTTGAAATGAGACACGTGTCGTGTTTTTCGCCTTCAAACAATGAATAAATTATTTAAAAAATACAGTTTAGTGAAACATTATAGTTTTCATAATATATGAGAGTCACTACTGTCATATTTGGCTGGGGCTGATACGTATCAGTCAAAGGTTTGATTTCAGTGTAAATAAAAGCGGTACTAAGTACTCTTCCTTGGTTATTGGGATGTTTGGTTGATAAAAAAATTAAAACAAATGAAGTATCCTTAGGCTTCGCCTTGAAAAGTTTAACGTTATGGCGTACGATATCCTGTCTCTACAGAGCATACTTCAACCACCTATTGAATGTTATGTTCAGCTGTTAGCCTTGCTAACTTGTATTTTTAACAAACCTAAATGGATTTGGTTGGCACACTTGATATTGCAGGAACTTGTTAGTTTCATGTATTCAGAGTAGAAAAGGTTTTTTATAAAAAAAACTCTCTCAGCAGCCCAACCTGGCAGCACCAATGTGTCACGTGTAAGATCTTCTCTATATGCTCTTCCTTTTTCATTGCAGCCCCTCTACGTGCCAGCGTGAGTCCGGCCCGTGTATTCCGCGTCCATCGGCCACACACTGCGCCTGAACTGCTCGGCGACCGGCTATCCCGTGCGCGATCTCTCTTGGACCAAAGATGCGAAACCACTGTACGCTTCGGACAGGGTCAAGCTGCTCTTCGACGACCGGCTGCTCGTGGTGAACGCCGTCAAGCGCCAAGACCGTGGCATGTACCAGTGCTTCGTGCGAAACCAATTCGAGGTGGCACAGGCTGCCTCTGAAGTCATACTGAACGGTGAGTTGTGCGAGCGCCGTTTGAAGCCATACTCGCGCCTTCATCCGAATCACTTTGGGGTAATACTGCTGAAAGCGAAGCGTTGCCTTTGCGGTTCTGCACGAGATACAAAAATTTACGCAAAGTACGTGCACTCAAGAGTCTGGTTACCACGATTGTTTTTAACGTACCTTAACTGCCAAACAAAAGAAAACAAAAAGTGAGGGCACTTTCTCCTTCCCCAGGGAGCCAGACCATATTCTCCTTTCATGTCGATGAAATATGCAGCACGTTTTTATGAAGCCTGTTATGAATTGGTGCTACTTTTAAGAGGTACAACCAATCATTACAGTTTATTAACTTCTCTTCTTTACTATAGTACCTGAAACTAAATTTATGGTATATAAGTATTAGGTCAAGTTTAATGTAGTATAATGACACGCGAGCCTTGTAAGCCTCTCAATCCAAACAAGCAAGTGCTATCCGGCGCTGACTGAATTATGAGTAGTGCAGTCATTGCTCACAGATATTGCGCAAGACAGTCTAAACAACAAAAGTAACATCTTATTTACTTAGAGAAGTCGTGTGCAAAGCGTAATATTTTCCCTTTCTCTAGTGCATTGAAAAACAAGTATTTAGATGGCATAGATGGTCCAAAACTAAAAAGTACACATAGAGGCTTTCCAAAATAATTCTCCAGATAATCGATTACTGAATCTTTCAATAGCATAATTTGATTTCACGCTGGAGCTGAAATGCAGCTGTCTGACAAACGAAGTTCATGTTACCTCCCTCCCCTAGCTTTTTTTTGGGGGTGTAGCCTAGCAAATAAAAGGCTACGTTGCTAGCCTAGAGGGCACCGGTTCTATCTTCCTTCGTTGCGACTGCATTGATATGGAAGAAAATGTAAGGCACCCGCATATTTAGATTTAGGCTAACGCACAGAAACCCAGGTTCTCAAAATTATTCCGGAGTCTCCTACATAGAGGCGCCTCTTAATCATATCGTGCCTTTAGCCCATAAAATACTATAATTATACGTTTCTTCCTTCTTTTTTGTCCTGCGAAAAACAAGACGAGCCCCCAGTGCTGGAAAGCGTGTTTTCCGAGTCCATCCACAAACCAGGCGGCTCCGTGTCCCTTCGCTGCACGGCCACGGGCAACCCGCTGCCACAGGTCACGTGGGACTTGGACGGGCGCCACCTGCCGGAGACCATCCGCTACAGGGTGGGCGACTACGTCACCCGCGACAACCGCGTGGTCAGCTACGTCAACATAAGCAGCGTGCGTCCCGAGGACGGCGGCGTGTATCGCTGCCGCGCTGCCAACGATGTTGGCTCTGTCGCGCACGTTGCCCGCGTGAACGTCTATGGGCCGCCGGCCATCCGGCCCATGGGCAACGTGACAGCCCTCTCGGGAGGAAGCCTGGTTGTGCACTGCCCCGTCGGAGGATATCCGCTCACTGCTATTCGGTGGGAGAGAGGTGAGGGAGCGTTTGCTCAATTATTTGCACGTGAGATAACACTGACATACTAAAGATGCGCCGGCTATGCATTCCTCGTGCTTTGTAATAAAAAAAACGGTAAGTTTGCACTAAGTCGCGCAAAGCGTGACACGGAGAAGCACGAGCCTTCCGGTTCTTTCAAGGAACGCTATTTCCTTATTTCTTTATCTTCCTCTACAGAGCTTGATAACCTTCTTCCTTTCTCTTAAGCTTTTGTCAATTTTGCTTCCTTTCTCTATTTTTCACCTTTTCTACTTGTTTTTTGTTGCTTTTGTCAGTTTATTTTTATTTACTTTCCCCTCTCTCTTTCTTCCTTCCTTTTCCTCTATCTATCTTTGTCTCACTCTATTCCTCGCTTGCTTTTCTCTTTCGCTTATACTTCTATACCTCTCCCTCCATCTAGTTCTTTCTTTCTCTTTCTGCACTTCTTTTACGCTTCTATTTTTCATTCTTTGTGCCCTTCTCTTTATTTTCTCTCTTTTTTCTCTTTCTTCACCTCATCCTCACATACTTCCTCCTCTTCTTTCTAACTTTCCTTTTCTATCCCATTTGCTCTACGATGCTCTAAAGGATGTGCTACGGTTTGTCATCGCGCTGAATATCCAAGCAGTTTATACGAGTGCGTTTAATCGCTAGTACGCCGTGTTCATATCGCGCCGTCTCACGAGAACTTTCTTTCCTTGTATTTTTCTTGATTTCTGTCTCTCTGTTTCTTCCCCTCTTTCATTTTACCCTCTCTTTATCGCTCTGTGCTTTCTCTTGCTATAACACCTGACAAACCGGCGCACATCTTCTACACTCGGCGACAACTTTTCTAGGCATTGGAGCGAAGGCTACAGAGCCAAATCGCGGTAATTCCTACCACCAATGAATATAGTTCCACAACAGCGCTCGTATTTTCACCCTAAATATTGAAGCTCCCTCTTTATTACCTTCGTAGACCTATTTGAGACTGGACGCAGCTCCCACCAATAGGATAGTCGATATTTACTTGAACTTATTCGTTGTGGCCTCACGTTTCTGAACGCGCGAGAAAGCCCCGTCTTTTTGCGTGCACCTCAAACGATAAGTGGTGTCTGCGTAAACTGAAACGCTGATGTTGCGCCCCCGTCACTTTCTATAGCGTTGCGATACACGCGCCAAAACAGACTACTTTGCGTAGTGATACATGTGCAGAAGCTCCGCCTTCATAACTTTCCCTTCAGTGCCAAGAAATGTTGCCGCCGAGTATAGGAGTGAGGAAGACGAGAGTGAGTGCAAGTTCCCGGTGACGGCAATTTCAGGTCATGGTGTTTTACGGCAGGGTAGAACAGCTTAGCCTTAAAATCGAGTAATTTAGGGAAGGATAGAACAATAAATATAATGGACAGATTACGCGAGGAGCTCACCGTGCAACGCAACTGCACAGCGCAATTCAGCATAGAAAGTTAGAAAAACCAGGTTAATTTATACTGATAATTCATGTGTAATAAAACGATGAAATAAAAAACGGTAATGAAAGTAACCCAGAGAAAGCTGGGTCTCCAGTTTCGACAGTACACGGGGAAGGAGACCTAAAAAGATAATACGTACCTAAATTGTGAACTATCAAACCTATTTAAACATATTAGGATGATTTTGCATGCTACCCAGAAATGTCAGTTCCTGAGAAATACAGTACCTGACACCTATACCGTTTATTTGCGCCCTTTTATGTTACTACCATCAAACCTCAACAACCTCAAGTTACGAACTCCAAGTAGGTTACTCAGCTCTAGAGAGAGAGACCACTGCCTTTGCATGAGAACGATATATTTTGATTTGTTAAACTATAACCCAGCTCAATAAGTTGTTTAAATGCCTTTCAATTCCGAGAAATATTGACCGGCGTCTTTAACGTCAACTGAAGATGCTGGGGCCCACCACGGTGGTCTAGTGGCTAAGGTACTCGGTTGCTGACCAGCAGGTCGCGGGATTTAATCCTGGCTGCGGCGGCTGCAGTTTCGATGTAGGCGAAAATGCTGTAGGCCCGTGTGCTCAGATTTGGGTGAACATTAAAAAACTCCAGGTCGTCGAAATTTTCGAAGCTCTTCACTACGGCGTCTTTCACAATAATTAGGTCATCTTGAGATGTTAAACCGCACCTACGAATTAATCAATCATCGATCGATTGTAGATACTAGTGGCTCATTCTAAGTTCTGTTCTAAACACAGCTGTGAGAAAAAGAGAAACGCAATCAGACAAACCAGAGAGCAATCCTTTTGGCTCATCTACGCGGGGGGAAAAGAGAAATGGGAGTAAAAATATGAGATATACCGAGTAAGAGGAGCTCGGCATAAAAAATAAACACGAAAAAAAAATAAAGGAAATCATCAGCAAATTCTCTGACAGTTGTGCAGTGTTGTGGCGCGACAATTGGACAATCAGCCACTCTTCTTGCCGATGCTGCTGGAGCACCGTCACTATCGCTCGACGGCCAACAAGGCAGTTAAACTGCTATTGTGTTTCTTAAAGTATAGGAGCCTTTGTGAACGTCTGCGACTATTGTACAGCGCCTACAGCTGCGAGAAAACAGTTGCCGTTAAGGCTCTCGTGTTATTATTCCGTTCATTTTTTTCGTTTCCAGAGGGGAGGACACTTCCTAGCGGCCACCGCCAGCTGGTTCATGCCAACGGCACACTAGTTCTCTCGGAAGTGAACCGAAAGGGAGACGAAGGTACCTATGACTGCGTTGCTGAGAATGGCCGCGGGGACGTTGCCAGGAGACCACTGCACGTGCACGTCATGGGTAGGTTGGAATCATAAAGGCCCTCCGTTCAGGCACCCCATTCTCTGAGAACATGGAGTTGTTTTAACTTTCTATTCACTATTGGGCTGAGAAAGTACTAATTTTCGGTGAGATGCCGATGAGATTGGATATTGAAAACGGTTGTTCAACGTTATGGATGTAAATTTTGATAATTTCATGTGTGCTTTGCTTGTGGTACGTTAGCGGAAATGAAAAGAAATGTACCGTTTTTAAAACCCATAGACCGTTTCTAGTGCTTTCCCTTAAAGTGGTCTTCATAAGCGCAAGCTAGAATTTTACTGCACCTCTTATCAAAACAACTTAGCTTTCCATCATGGTTTCATGCGGTGGCTTCTTCTATTGCTTTAAAGCAATGCATAAAGTACGCTTTACAAATCTGATATCACGTTAGCTAGGCACCGAAGTTACCGAAGAAACCAAACTTTTTTAAAAGCGAAGCTTCTTAGGCCTGCACTCCACCGTCACTCTCGCCCCCGTCGGTGTCGAAGCTCCCTGCACCGGACAAGCGCGTCGAGCAAAACATCAGGTGCTCGCTCTCGGCGCAGCGGGAGCACAGGCGCGGTGTCAGATGGCAAGCGCAGCGCCTCACTCACCGCACACCCACTCACTCAGTCTCTCCCGCCACCGAGCGCAGCAAACGCTCTCCCCACCCGCTTCCCACTCTACCGCCTTTATGAAAGCCAGCAGTGAGATCAGGCGCACAGTCGTTTACGTTCCATTTCTAAGGGAGCTTCACTCAGCCGTTGGATTCGTACACGGAACAACTGCTAGTTTTTATGAAGCAGAGTTGGGAGTGCAGCTCCCAGCGGGTTTCCTGAAACATTTCTGTAGGCTTGCGACGTTTCACTTATATGAAAATATAGACGTAGATTATCTGAGACGGTTCAGTACGAGGCCCACAGTAAATTTGCGACATTATTCACAGTATCCAAGCAATGCCTAAAAACCGAGCATCGCTACTGTGACGTAGATTTAGGTGATAAATATTTCACCAAAAAGTTAAGAATGTGAACACTTGCATTTATGAATGCGAATAACACGAAATATACTAATAAAGTGTGGCATGATGAAATGCAGTTTTTTAAACACAAAAGCAGAATGAAATGACTGCTGCCCCTCTAAACCCTTGTTAATTAAGTTGCCTTCGAAAGTAGACTGAGACGAATTGCTAAATACACTTTCATGAAAGTAAACTGTGGCGCGTGCATCAGCTACGCAAACCATTCATACCAAATTGCTTGGTGTTAAAACTGCCTATTCCTTCATATATTTAATATCTGTTGCAAGAACGGCACACCATTCGAAGAACGTTGTGTCAGTTTTGATTTGCTATTAAAGCAGAAGTGTCAACAAAGTACCACAAATAATTGCTTTGCGTAACATCGACAAACAAACAATCACAGCATGTTCACGGAGCTATTATGATGAGTGCGGCGAAGGGTCCGTCCGTCCGTGCATGCGCCCATTTATCCAATAGCGTTTGAGAATGCAGATGGCGCGTGGGTAATACTGAAAAAACGTGAGTCAAAGAAGCCGAGCGCAAGCATCTTCACCGCGCCCAATTCTCGGCTTCGTCCATGCCCTACCAACGATCCGCCACATATGGCGACTATAAAGCAGACTGAGAGGGGCCCTCGTTCTCAGCGCACTCAGGTAAAGCACGCGCTGGAGACAATCGGAGAGTAGCAGCACTTCGGAGAGTAGAGGCAGAGTAACGCCATCTACAAAATAAAACGAGAAATGTTCATCCATTTGTTCTGCCGTCTTTTCTTTCTCGTTTCTTCTTCTCTCGGTTACGCGTGACGCGTGACAAGGTGAGGGCCTTCGCCTCTAAAAACATGCTGCCGCGCAGCAACCAAAATTGTAATGCAAGTAAATAACAAAAACTTACTTCCGGCCCAGCACTGTGGCCTACAGTACATGACACATCGCATGATGGCACGGAGAAACAGTTTGGGACGTGCTTTTGGGGTCTCTAAACTCTAAATGTATGTATGTATGTATGTATGTATGTATGTATGTATGTATGTATGTATGTATGTATGTATGTATGTATGTATGTATGTATGTATGTATGTATGTATGTATGTATGTATGTATGTATGTATGTATGTATGTATGTATGTATGTATGTATGTATGATGCATGTATGCATGCATGCATGCATGCATGTATGTATGTATGGTTATGTATGTATGTATGTATGTATAATGAAGTGGTGGGCTTGGTGTCACTTATTACGCCCTTCTATAACAGTGGGACCAAAGGTGGATCCATTCAAGTTCCCCAGTGACTTGGAGGAGGGCATGCGGACTGTGGTCGTGTGTGTGGTTATCGACGGCGATCCACCGGTGTTCATTGGCTGGCTCAAAGATGGCCGACCTCTGGGATCAGACCTGGGCGCACACACGGAGATGCTCAACGCATTCACGTCTTCCCTGACTTTCCACTCAGTTGGCCCTCAACACAGCGGCAACTATACCTGTGTCGCGAGAAATCCGGCCGCCGCTGTCAACCGGTCCGCCACCATGACCGTCAAAGGTGAGCAAATGGCTGAACATGTTGCACACTACGCGCAACGCTTCAGCTCGTGGCGTAGTGTGCAGTTTAATATACAAGCAATCATCTTTCATTTTATCAGGTGTTTACGGCCTAAGTGTGCAGCGGTTAGAAAGGGCTTATCGGGTACGAATATTAGTGGGAAGTTGAAAGGTTATTCCGGTAGCCTAGGGAATTTTCACAGTGAGTACTTAGTTGACCTAAATGAACCCCCACGATATAAGTGTTGTCATCATGTCATTCAGCACATCGAGAATAGATAATAACAGATATAAAAAAGAGTCACACGCAGAGTGAAAAAGAGAGAGGGAGAGATAATTTATTAGTAAACAGAGAGGTCAACATGAGACTGAGCTGAGTGCTCTAGCGTGCTACTCTACACAGGGGATAAGAGAAAGGAAAAAAGATATGAAGGGTGATGACGGAAACAGGAAGATGTAGCGAGTATGCGTGATAGTTACTTTTCACTGTGATTACCCTTAAGCAAAACAACTACAGATAAGTGTTCGGAGCTTGTCATAAACTCAGATAACTAGGTAATATACCGATTACGCAGCCTATTGGCCTTGATATGGTAAAGCTTACATAAAGTAGCTGTATGTAAGACTTTTTTATGTCTCACACACCTATTTGGTGTCTTCTTTTACGTTTGCAGACAAATTATTACAGTGATATAAAAGACTAATATTTCTGTGACATGTAATTTTTTGAATGTTGATCAGCAGTTGAAGCATTTGGAGATCGAAAAATATTTCAAAAACACAGTTCGAACTTAAAAAAAATAATTGTAGTAAAACAGCCTTTCTCCGCTTCATTGTAAGAAATTGTTACTAATTTTACGTTCAAATTCTTCCATTTATTTTGTCAAAAAGGAAGGAATAGGACGAAAAGCTGCACATGCGGCTTGGCAAGGGTCCTGACCCTCTCGTAGAATTCATTTATTGGCAGCACAGTGAATATTCATATATATAAATGTCATTCAAGACCTAAAATAGTATGATAAAAATTGACAATTATACAGTCGTTGGAATAAGCACTAGCTACACTTCAGCTACTGAACAAGAATTCATTATTGGGAAATGATTTAAACTTCAACCAAAAAGTTTCTGAAGAAACTTGACGTTTCGGAACCGACTGGGTTCCTTCCTCAGGGAAAACTGAGACTACGTTGCCACGGCGTCTTCAAAGATCTCGCGAGGTGGTTAATGACCCCCTCTAGTTTCTCCGTGGAGTGCAGACAGTGCGCTCTGCGTCCGTTTTTTTTCTGAGGTCCGCCATTACGCGGGCCTCTTCTTTCTTTCGCTACGTGTCATTGGAGCATATGTTCCGAGCTCTCGCAAGTAGCCTGGTCATAACCGAGGCCTTGTGGCAGGTGGGATGGGATGAATCACACTGAAGTTAGCGGCTGGTGTGCGTTGGCTTCTTGTGAAAGAACAACTCCTGGAGTTCTCCCCAAAACTATTCCAAAACTTCATTTGAGCCGTCACCTACCGCGCAGAGCAACAAAGAATACGGAAACCTCAGTTAGGCTTTAATTGAGCGCCCTCCGAAACGCATTCCGGTCCTATACGTCCAAAGGAACCAGCGAGATGTTGGCACGGATCTTCAGAAAACAAGGGGGTTCTCATCGCGCACGTGCCTTCATGTGCGCTGGGCCGCCTCCTCCCCCACCCGAAAGACCGGCTAACAATAGGCAGGACCCCTTGTGTCGTATACAAGATTCCGTGTGCCGAGTGCCCTTCTTCGTATATCGGCGAGACGAAAAACCTACCGGAACGACTCAAGCAACACGCCAACGACGTGCGGAGGCTCTACAGAGAACGCAGCGCAGTCGCCGAGCATGCTGAGACGTTGAACCACCGGATAAATTTTGAAGGAACGACCATCCTTGAAAGCGAGACGAACTGGAGGAGAAGGTTTTTACTCGAGTCATGGCACATACAGCGAACGGCCCAAATATATCAACCGTTCTCTCGGAGCCCTTCCCTCAGTGTATGCACATTGGTCTGCGCTCCATCGGTGAAACGAAAGAGAGAGATAGAGAGGGTCATTAACCGCCCCGCGAGTGCTTTGAAGACGCCGCTGCTACGTAGTTCTAGTTTCCTCTCAGGAAGGAATCAATTCGGTTCCGAAACGTCGGGTTTCTTCACACACGTTTTGGTTGGAGTTTAAATCATTTCGCAGTTTTCATACCCAACCAGACAGACATCTGTGCAATGTTTGCATTCAAGAATGCATTATACACACTTCACGCAAACACTGAAGTGAATGAAACTGAATGTAACATGAAACTGAACACATACGTGTGCACATTGCAAAAATAAAAGCGCATTGCTTAACACATCAGAAACAGACGAAAAGAAAGCGTAAATTCATTCTTGCGTGCCGTGTCTTTTTGTGAAGATCTTGCCCATAATGTAATGCCTAATATTTTATTAGATGTGACAAAAATATTGAAGTCATTATTGAATAGTAGATTGAATCGTCTAAGCACTGTGTAACTCAATGATTGCGTACAACCGTATGCCTTAGAGGTGGGTGCACTCCACCGTTACTTGGATCTGGCATTTTAAATTTCGAATGTCTTGGGTTTGGTTTCCATATGATATGTACGTATCTCAAGGTCCCTTTTCACAAATACAGGCTGAACACAAAAAAAAAACCTAATCATATACCGAGTCGCTGTTTTATGGGCTACTTGCTTTACTCAAAGCAAATACTTTGTCTTAACACAGCCACTCTTGTGAATAAAATGTGCGTTGATTTTCACATATCCGCAATAACGTATGAACTTAAATCATGTTGCCTGAGACGAAGTAGCGGCTGTCAGCTTCGTCGCGCACATAAAGTAGTCAGCGACGTTTTAGGCCAATGTCTGTGGCAATGACAACGTCTTTTGTGAGATCACTTACTGCCATAAATAAGATTATATTTCAAGGTGTTATAGCAGGAATATTTATTATAAACACATAATGAAAGTAGCTACTTCGAAAGCGACTTGAAGCTACTCCGCGGCGATTGTGTTCTTTTACTGATCGTAGCCCTGGAGACATGCATTCTTTTATACATACCGAATTTGAAGAAGGGCATATAGAAATGAGTGAATCCCAGCTAATTGCTTTTCTTTTCTCGTGAATCAGCGACATAATCTTAGAAATATTTCCCGAACAAAAGCCCTTCTTTAGCTTAACTGAGCTGCTCCATCCATCGTGTTTTCTGCGATAAATTGTATTACGAATATACATGAAAACACGAACCTTCCAAAATGATTTTGCGCAGCTGCCCGTGCGTCTAAGTTCATAAGTGTTTGCTTCAGGTCATGAAGTATCAGTGATTCTTTCATGCGAACGACACCAAGACCTCGCTATTCTTATCTCTAATGAAGTTCAATTCATAATTTGTGCAATCTTCTGTGCAGTCGCTCGCAATATTTCTGTTGAGAAATCTCCTTTCCGGTTACATCACGCGTCTAAATTACGAAGCCGATAGCCTGTGATGGGAAAGATCCTGATATATCATTTATTATTGAATTTATTGCTTATTCTTAGTAGGTTATCATACAAAGTATGACAAGGCAACATTCAGGGTAAAGTATGCATCGCGACATATAGTTTTTTTACTTCGTTTATTTTACGTTTCAAGCACATTTCTTCCAAAAAGAGATATTACAACCTTTTCCAAACCTGTGGAAGGAACGAATACCACTTTAGCGCGACAGATGAATATTGAAGTGTGGCATGTAAGGCAAAGCATTCGCAAGTTCAAGTTAAAAGGTGATACCATGTCATCAAGTAAGAGCGATAATCTACGAATGTTATTACAGATTTCGAGTTTGATTCCGCCGGTTGAGTCGGGTTTTATCGTTCTTCGTATTCGCAGGAAAACCTATTTTCTAGATAATAGTGCGTTTACAAGAGCAATGTAACGTTTTTTTAATTGTGTTTGTGTTTGGCAACACGATAACCAAATCACCCACTGTATCCAGGCCAGTACTCGCAATTGGATATTGCTTTCTTCATCAGCACTGCTCCTAAAGTTGGCACTGTGACGTTGTCTTCAGAGACATTGTCTCAGCCACGCATGCGCGGAACTTGGCGTTGAACGAACAGTGACAGCCCGACGGCCGTTTTTTGATGAGCGAAACTGACTCCTTTTAGCGTTTGCCTTTTAGAAAGAAGTTCTCTCTTTAAAGGTAGTTACCTGAATGGCACTATCAGCTTTCCTTTCCAATATAAGGTATCGCGGAAAAGGTATCGCACACTTATTGAGTATGGTGGGTGACGCGGTTTGCGTACCTTTGTGCTCCGGACGTGCATTACTTCACATTGCAATGAACAGGCATACGCTGAAGTTTGATAAAGGCAAAGTTGCCCGAAACATTATTATGCCTTGTGATTGCGAATAACCGATGCCTAGGGTAAAACATAAAAGAAAAGTGCCACTGTTATGTTTGCAGGTGGCCAATGAGGTTCTTTTGTAAACTAGCAGAATAATGTTATAACACAACTAAGTACATGAGAAACGTGTTGTGCGTTTTTTTTTCTTGTCACCATCATCATTGTTCATTCTGTTCGTTGCAGCAGGACACGTGAAATACGTCTTTGTTTTTTTTCCTAGAGACGAAGAGCAATCAGTAAAAAAAACGAACACACAAAAAACCAAACACTAAGCGTGTGAACTTTCTCTTACGTGACGTGACTAACGTACAGCGCGCAAAGAAGGACTGCCCCCTATGAGGTCCTCCAAAATGTTCTCGTGACAGTGCAGCAAGCACAGAACCCAGTAAAAATAAGCAAAAAAAAAAAAAACAGTGAGTGATGTGTGATACTGCAGAATGAACGCATTCAGGAGGAAAATTCAGCGTCCGATTCAGGTCACGTAACGCGCGGCCAAGTTCCGTCCTCCGCTCCCAATGGCACGCTATCATTTTCTGCCTTTGTCCACGATGACGCTGCACCAAATACTGATTTCCACTGCCGCTA